CCTGGATGTGCATCCCACAAATCTCCATCAACTGCAAGATGCTATCCTATCAATATGGCCCAACATTTCTAAAGAATGCTTTCAGCACCTTGTTGAATCAATGCCACATAGAATTAAGGCAGTCCTGAAGGCGAAAGGGGTTCAAACACCGTATTACTATGGTGTTCCTAATAATCCTTTAGGTGAGTGTATGTATGTGGAATTTGCATGTTTTCCCCATGTCTGCTTAGGTTCCCATTACGTTCTGTGGCCAGTCCAAACATGAGTGAACCGGTAGCCCTAAATTTCCTGGGGCATGTGAGTCCCATAAGCCACACAGCCCAGCCCTGATTTGTATGCTGGATCCCTATGCCCCTCTGGTGAAATAAATGGATAGATGGAGCTGAAAATGAAATGACACAGCAAATTAGGAGATGCTGTCTGGACCGGAGGAGCCATTTTGCACTTCACTGTTCTGTGCTGGTTCTTCCTGGGTTTACGGGCAAATAGCCATTTTTGTAGGATAAGCACTAACCCAGCAGATGCTCTTGCCGATGAAGAGTTAATGCACTCATTCTTCCTGCATGTGGCCTCTTCCTTCTCAGCAAAATGAGTGGTTTTCCTCCCAGCCTTTAACCTATTACTCGCTCTCTGTCCTATTCCCTCTTTCCTGTATCTCTCTTTCCTGAAATCGGCTGTCTTTTTACTTCACTCTCACTCTTCTGCATCCTCTAAACCAAACACCACTGCTGACCCTCATCCAGCCAGGAACCTCCCTGCTGAGCTTGGTCTCCAGCCCGATGGCCCTCCCACTGTCCAACTTGATATCTACTGGACGCATGTCCACCCCAAGGGGGCCATGGAGGGCAACGGGGAGAGGCCCCTAGCCTCTCATCCCTCCCACTCCACAGGTAACTCAGCTGGCCATGCAGGACTTGCTACCAGACCATCCCGTCCTGTGGTTTGGCATCCCTAATGAACCCTTGGCTGGTCATTGCTGTCTGTCCCTTTCATTTCTGGTTGTCATCTATGTTTTTTTCTTTTCTTTTTTAAACACTTTCTGATTGTTTTCTGTGTATGACTTTAATTTGACTGGTATGTCTTCAAAGTGCCATATAAAGATTCCTTCATTTAGACTCTTCATTTATTGTTCATTCAGCTTGTTTGGTGACCCTTTGTTTTGTTCGGATATAGCCCCCGGACACTCACTGGCGCGCCATGCGGCTGTCCGCACTTGGCTGGACTCCTTTTCTGGAGGCAGCGCTGTGTTTATTCAGCTTCTGCTCTCTTGCACGGCTTCATACACACATAAACACACAGCCTCACACACGCGTGTGCATGACACCGTGTCAGAGCATCCGACAGGAATGGGGGAGGAGTCTTGGGTCAGACATACGTACTGAGACAGGCCTGGCTTTGAATTCTGATCATCGTGCACTGGTTCTGTGTTTTTAGTACATCTTTCACAGGAAAACTAACATATATTACAGATATTACTGGAAAGCTGAACTCATCTTGCATAAGTTGTTGTTTTTTTTTTGCACATCACCTCTAGACTTTGACTAATTTCTGAGTAAGGTCTGCCCCGTTTCCTAATACTTCTCTCTATGCCTGTTGGTCAGCACTGGTGCTCATGTTTCACTTCACTGGGATTAATCTGCCAGCCTAGGTTTGTCTTCCTTGTCCTGGAAAGCCTGACCAGTAGAGTTTCCTGTGCAATTCTTACTTATTTTACGTGCATACAGCTTAGTGTCTTGAATACAAAAGTGCCTGCCCGTGTATACATGTGTATATAAATATGGGATATTTCACCCAATTGTCTGAGTTCACTGTGAATTACATTAATAAATACTCCATAATTTGATGACACATCAAATGATTCTTGATACTTTCCTAAATTCAAGTTCACCTAATGTTCTGTAGTGTAGATGTTTCTAAGAGGCACAGAGATTACAGTCATGTTTTTGCTCTGAAAAGTTTCTTATGTTGCCCTTTAACCTCAGAGCCCTGTGACCGAGATGATGACGCAGAAGCTGGGAGCCCTGACGTGGAGCCTGGCACAGAGCTGGATGAAGGTGTGTAACTGAACTGGGGCTTATTGTATTCCCTGAATGGAGAATACATATGGTTGTGGGATTAGTCTGCCTCTGATAACTTCAAAAAATAAATCATGGATTTTTCAGACTTCACAAACACATAGGGTGGGTGACGATCTGGAAGTGATCAAATTTTGAGGCAAATTGCATCAAAACTGAAGTGACACCGCTTAGTGGCAGCAAAGGAAAGGGTGACTGTAGAAGATGTGAGAATGTGATAACTAAAAAGCATTTGACGGATCACATTTCCACTTCACAAGTACATTATATGGATGAAGATCTTTACCTGATTTCATTTTGAGCCAAATCACATCAAAATTAAAGCATAAGTGCTTGATGGCAACAAAGGATGGAAATGGCAGCTGCAGAAGACACTTGATTTTGTGAACACAGTAACTCTTAAAAGCATTTAATTGTTTTTCAAGCTTCCCAGTTACTTAGTGGTGGCACATCAAGGGCCAAATCTTGTGAACCAGATTGCATCGAGACAAGTTAGAAAGTTGGGCTCTTAATAAATGTTTTTGAAGAGGTGTAGGGACTGTGTGTAGGGAGTTTAGAAATTGTGGAGTTTGGGGTGTGTGAGAGAAGTAGGGATTAGATGGGGGGAGGGGTGACGAGGTCCTTGGGGGAATACATTGCTGCTGTTCCGACAGCATCTTGTTTATTTAGCTATGAGCTTCTTGAATGTAGATGACCATGAAACATGGATGAAATGTATATTGTACATTAACCTACTGAGACCCCTTTTCAGGGATCTTTCCTGAAATACCAAAGAAATAACATACGACGTCTTCCACAGAGGAGATTTCATCAGATACAGAGACCGAAATTCATTCACAGCAGTTTCCAGAAGACAAGCTGTCATTGGCAGATGAGGAAAGGTACAGGGGTGACATATCACCCTCTGATCATGGTAATTTTTAACTGTGATTAATCTGTGTCTTGTGATCCTGCTTGCTACCTTAACGTCAATATTAAATTCTCTTTATAATATATTTTGTTGAGAACATTACTGAGCTTCTAGGTTTGCTGAAGCCATTCGTAAGCTTTATTAAGCTCATCTCACAACGATACTTGGCAAGAACTCCTGTTTCTCACTTTTCATAGAGCAACCGGCTCAGCCAGTCTGTCTCAGGCTGTTTGTTGGTGATGGTCTGGTTTCTCCCCTTAAAGATACTCAGGAGCCTGAAGCACAGGTATAAATCATTACTTTCATACATCTATTTCTGCTCTTAATAATTCAGTACTTGAGTAAGTGGGGGTTAAAATCTGTTTATCTTCCAGGTCACCCAGAAGGCTCAAACTCCTGCCTTGGTTAAATCCCACGATTTGCACTTCTCAGAACCATTAGTTGGAGAGGAAGTCAAGCCAAAGGTGAACTCTTCTGTCCTGGATACTAAGAGTCCCGTGTCTTCAGTTTCCCCCATTTGCTCTCAGCCTGTTTCACTGCCAGAAACGGTTGCCCCAGAATCATCAGTGAGCAATGGCCAGCCCTGTTCCTGCTCCTCTGCAGGGAATGCGCTCTCACCAATATGCACCCGGCCACTTCTCTGCAATGAACCGGCAGCGAGCCTCTCCAACTCCCCAGAGCGAACCAAAGCCTCATCTTCAGTGACATCCACACCACTTTCTAAACCCATTCCTACAAAGGCTTTGCCCGAGCTTCTGAAGCCATTGGGCTTCATGGAAGAAACACCTGGGAAGAAGACAGACATCATCGAGGAGTTTTGGTTGAAGAGTGCAGAGATCAGGAGGAGCCTAGGTCTCACTCCACTGGAGAGGAGCAGAGTCCCAGAAAAATTTGTGAAGGCCCATACCCCTGACTCCTCCTCACCTAAGTCGTATACCCCTGAGGACCTGTCAGAGGATCTGAGGCCCCCCTTCATTGGCCGGGCCGTCATCCGGAGGCTAAATATCACTGTGGAGGGGCAGGTCATCACGCCTGTGGACAAGGAGCCCAAAAGCACTGGATCTGAGAGAAGGGACCTCAGCAGCAGCTCAGGTTTGGGTCTCAATGGAAGCTCGGCCACCAGCCAGACTTTAAACAACTCTGACTCTGCCATGCTGACCCCGCCTTCCAGCCCTCCCCCACCCCCACCCGTCCAGAATCCGCCTGCTGTTAAGCCAAAGAAGCACCAGGTAGGGTGGTCCAATATGCCCAAGGAGACTCCAGTACCAGTCCAGATGCCTGTGCCTTCAGCTGCTCCAGCTCCTCCAGCTCCTACCCCAGCAGCTCTTGGAAACATGCCCATCACCCCGGTGGTGGTGAAGCGGGAGAAAAGCAAACCTCGGCGAGATGATGTTCGCAAGTCTTTTGTGGAGAGTGTGGATGAGATCCCATTTGCAGACGATGTAGAAGATACTTATGATGACCGGACGCCAGATGCCAGTGTGCTAGAACGATTCTCCACCCCTCCCAATAGGAGGCAGGATAAGAGCAAGCTCCCACTCCACCTGGCTCTGGCTATGGAGAATGGCAAGCCCAGTGTCATTGCAAGGGACACCCAGTCCGAGCAACTGCCTAAGATGGAGTCTGAGGCTCGTAGAACGCCCCAAAATGTTGCTTCAGATGCTTCAGGGAAGAGTATGAAGACCCATCAGCCACCCAACTCTCCGTCGACATCAGCCGTGAAAGCTCTGGAGTCGCGGAAGCATGCATTGACACTCTCTGAGCGACTCATCTCTGGACATGCTCAGAAGAGCCTAGACAGCTCTGGGGCCTCCTCAGAAGGTTCCTCAGCAGGCAAGATCAAGAAGCGCAGCTCCCTTTTCTCTCCACGCAAAAACAAGAAGGAGAAGAAGAGCAAGAGTGACAGCTGCTCCTCTGGCAAGCAGAGTTCTGAGGATGCTCCCAAGCACAAGTCCCTCTGGAAGGTGGTCTTCTCAGGGTACAAAAAGGACAAGAAAAAGAAGAAAATGGACAACAAATCCTGGTCCAGCACCCCCTCCAGTGCTGCTACCATGGGCTCATGGAAGAGGAGATCTTCATCCCTCGAGCGGACATTAGGTTAGGCGGGATTTTTTAAATTCACATTATGAATACAAGAAGGTTGATAACACTTACTTAAAGCTGTCATCTATAATGCATTACAGATGCTTTCATGATGCATCATAATGGTAGGTATAAGAATTAATAAAGCATTACAGTATCTTCTATTGACAGTCATATGGCATTTTATTGATTATAACACTTAATAAGCTCCAATGAAGCTGTCATCTATAATGCACTATATCAGTTGGTATAAGAATTAAGGATGCTTTATACTGAGCTGTCTATAGTGCATTATAGATGACAGCTTTATAAAGCATTCACCATAAACATAATGTGCCATTGTGTTTTATGCCTTTTAGAAATATGTATAAACATGTTTCTAATGCTTTATGAGTGTATTATAATGAGTTATGAATGTGTCCATATATTCTTATAGACATGGTATTCATAGAGAGTGTTAGCAAATGGTTAGGTTTAATGATATGTTGTTGCCTTTTTTGGGCAAATACTTTTTAATTTTACTGACTCTGTGGTTTCTTTTTGGTGTAGAGCTCCATTTGCGAAAAAATCTGAGTTTCTCTGAAGACTCAGACCTGTCCTGTGACGACATGCTGGAGAGAGCCTCCCAGAGGTCTAAAACCGAAGTGAGTTTCCTGCCCTATTCATCACTGTCCTTTCGTGAAGCATTTGATTGGTGTTCATTTCATGCTTCTTCCACATCACATTGGAATCTCTAGATATTGAACCACTTTGTTTATCTGCAGGAGTTCTGTGAAATCCTTCCCAGCTTTAACCTCTACTAGTTCACTTTACATTGTCATGATAAATAACTCAAAAGGCCAGAAATGGATCTTCCTAAGATTATGTGGATAAATTCGGTTGACTATGTTCAAATATCATGTCTTTTCACCACGACATGATATTGTCTGATCAAGCTTCAGATGATCCAAAGTAAATGTTAAAGCAAGAATGGAAAGTATTTTTTAGTAAAGTTTAAGGCTTAGGATTATATGAAATAGGAACATAGACTTCAACTAGACCTAGCCACTCTGCTACAGATGGCTCTGATATTCGATCTCAGGACTGATAAAAAAGACTGTGTTATGCAGTGTTAATGCCAAATAATACCTGGGGTCTGTGAATGCATTAAAAAATGACTAGCTTTTTCATGAAAGTTGAAAATAACTTCTTTTCACAGTTAACTTGGTAAGTATTCATTTGGTGTTGTTTTGAGCTTTCTTGGGAGAATGAGAGGAAGGTTCCAGGTGCAATAGGGCTCACCAGTGCCTCAGGGAGGCAGCATGTGCTGCGTGTTTGTGTGGGCAAGTAGCTGGATAACGGAGGCTTTTAGAGATTGTGCTGTATCGAGTATGAGCTTTCCAGTGCTTTTAGCAGTTTTTCATATATCAGTTTTTTAACACTTCAGTATGGATTGTAGTTCTTTGGGCGCCTTTCAGAAGTGTTTTACATTGTAATGTGTTTTATGTGGTATTAATGAATTGAAAATGATTAATCCACCAAATGGTATACTTGCTGATTTTTCTGGAAGTTTTTACCATGGTATTCTTGCTTCTAAGCAAGATTTAAAACCAAAGAAAAGCAGAATGGGATATCCTTTTTCAGTCCTATAAAAATCTATGACTGTAATCAAAAAACTGAAAATTCCAGAAGTCTTGTTTGGTAGTGCTGTAGTTCTCGAGACCGGTCTTGGTCTCAAGACCGGTCTTGAGACCAATTTTTTGTGGTCCTGGTCTTGTCTTGGTCTCAACT